TCTTGAATTAATTTTTGTATAAGGTGTAAGGAAGGGATCCAGTTTCAACTTTCTACATATGGCCAGCCAGTTTTCCCAGCACCATTTATTAAATAGGAAATCCTTTCCCCATTTCTTGTTTTTGTCAGCTTTGTCAAAGATCAGATGTTTGTAGATGTGTGGTATTATTTCTGAGGGCTCTGTTCTGTTCCATTGGTCTATATCTCTGTTTTGGTACCAGTACCATGCTGTTTTGGTTACTGTAGCCTTGTAGTATAGTTTGAAGTCAGCATGATGCCTCCAGCTTTCTTCTTCTGGATTAGGATTGTCTTGGCAATGTGGGCTCTTTTGTTCCATATGAACTTTAAAGTATTTTTTCCAATTCTGTGAAGAAAGTCATTGGTAGCTTGATGGGGATGGCGTTGAATATATAAATTACCTTGGGCAGTATGGCCATTTTCACGATATTGATTCTTCATATCCATGAGCATGGAATGTTCTTCCATTTGTTTGTGTCCTCTTTTATTTTGTTGAGCAGTGGTTTGTAATTCTTCTTGAAGAGGTCCTTCACATCCCTTGTTAGTTGGATTCCTAGGTATTTTATTCTCTTTGAAGCAATTGTGAATGGGAGTTCACTCATGATTTGGCTCTGTGTTTGTCTGTTATTGGTGTATAAGAATGCTTGTGATTTTTGCACATTGACTTTGTATCCTGAGACTTTGCTAAAGTTGCTTATCAACTTAAGGAGATTTTGGGCTGAGATGATGGGGTTTTCTAAATATACAATCATGTCCTCTATGTCATCTGCAAACAGGGACCAATTACAATTTTTTAAAAGACATTTTGAGCATATCTGAGTTTGTAGTAGAGTTTCATTCTTGCTACAAATTGCACTTCACTGCCAGGTACTCAATGCTCTTTGACCTCCAGACTTTCACCACCTCCATCACAATTATAAAAATTTTCTCAACAGTTGTTGGGTCTTTGCATCACTCCCTCCAGATCCAAAGTCCAGGGTAGGAGCAACTGACTGGCTAAGTTCATGTCACACAGTCGCACTCAAGCAGCCAGTCAAAAGAGAGAAGTAGTATCTGGACTCTTTGGTTTCCATAGAGGAGAGGAACTCAGCTGAGAACCATCAGCTACCAAACTCCCAGGTAGGGTAATAGGCACTTCATTCCTGAAGGGAAATAGGGGTGCTGTCCACAGCACCTGCCGGAAATCTTTGGGAAGGAACCTGAGGCAAGTTCAGTAGTCTGCCTTTATCCATGGGGCATGTGTTCTGAGACCCTCAATGGATGCCTGAAACCACGAATAGTATTGAACCCTATATACACTATGTTGTTCTCCTATACATATATAGTTATAATAAAGTTTAATTTATAAATTAGGCATAGTAAGAGATTAACAACAATAATAACAAAACAGAACAATTATAACAATACTCTAGCATCACTTATCTTGCATTTTGTGGGCGTTAAGTAAAATAAGGGTTACTTGAATACAAACACTACAATACTGTGACAGCCGATCTGACAACTGAGTTGGTTTCTAAATGACTAATGGGCAGGTAATGTGTGCAGGGTGGATACACTGGACAAAGGGATGATTCACATTGTGAGCAGGATGGCACAAGATTTCACCCCAATAACAATGTGCAATTTAAAACTTATGAATTGTTTATTTCTGGAATTTTCCATTTAATATTTTTGGGCCTAGGGTAACTGAAACCACAGACAGTGAAACTACAAATATGGGAGAACTACTGTACTCATAGGGATTTTGGCTTTTGCTCTGAGTTAGATGAAAAGTCAATGAAGGATTGTTAGTAGCCGAGTATCAGGACATAAAGAATCTTTCTGGCTGTTCTTTCAAGAATAAACTGTAGAGAACAAGGACTGAAGCCCTGAGACCAGTTGGGAGGCTATTTCCGTTTTAAAAAATGGATGATAGATGGACCACTAAAAGGTGGGGGAACAGCAGATAAGTGTTGTATGAGCGTATGGACTAACTTGTCTATCTCTGCCTGTGCTGAAAGTGTGTCTTGTCTGGAGTTGTTGAGTATTGATAGAATGATGCAATTTTAGTCATGAGACTGTGGTCCCTTGAGATTTCAGCACCCCAGCATTTTTAGTGACTAAAATAATGAAAATGTTTTGCACTTGCTTTTTGCCCAATATTCCTTGTTCCCACAACAAAATTATTTGTTGCAAACAAACGGTTGCTGATGTCCTGTTTCTTTGTTAAACGGGGAGATAACTTCAGGGTCACGAAAAGGTTTGCAAGAAATGAAGGCCTTTAAGGATATTGTTACTAGCTGTTGACTCCCAGAGGTCTAGTTGTTCCAGGTGTTACCTGAGACGGAAGAAACACAGGCTTTTCCCCTTGGTTCCCTGAAACTTCCCCTCCTCTACTCCCCAGCCACATTAAAAGCCCACTTTGTTGTTGTTGTTAAGGTGGAGTTGAGAGTTCCTACCTTCTGCCTTCTTGCTTTGGTTACACTGAATAAACCTTTCTCCATCTCCAAACACCCGTGTATCAATGTTGGCATCAGCTGCCCATTGGGTACACAAGCCTGAATCTGGGGTTCTATGACAGTTCTGGCGACTATGGAAGAACCTTGTGCCCATGGCCGGGCAGTTCCAGCCAGGATCTGCATGCACAGGGAGTCCCCAAAGCTGCCCAGGCACCTTGCCTGGGGGACACCCCTCACTGGTTCCTTTCCTGCCAGTAGTGACCACTTTTGGTGCAATGATCCCTTGGAGTGAAGACATGTACCTGACTTTGGTGTACTTTTGGATTTGCATTTCCTGGGTGAGTCACCATGACCTTTGTGACAATTCTCACTGGATAGTGATCTGGATAGCACCCCACTTGACCCCAGTTTCATTGCACAGGAAGGACAATGGATAGGCCCAGCCTTACCTGAGTGTGGCAACTGTCTAACAGATCCAGGGGTAGGAAATGCGGCTTTAATGACTGCCTCAACTACTGACACTGTGCCTTGTGTTCCTGAGGGATAGGTTTCTTTTCCCTTCCCTTCCCTTCCCTTCCCCTTCCTTCCCCTTCCTTCCCCTTCCTTCCCCTCCCTTCCCCTCCCTTCCCCTCCCTTCCCCTCCCCTAGCCTCCCCTCCCCTCCCCTCCCCTCTCCTCTCCTCTCCTCTCCTCTCCTCTCCTCTCCTCTCCTCTCCTCTCCTCTTCTCTCCTCTCCTTTCCTTTCTTTCTGAGACAGTTTCCCTCTGTTACCCAGGCTGGAGTGCAGTGGCACTGTCTCAGTTCACTGCGACCTCCCCCTCCCGGATTCAAGCAATTCTCATGCCTCAGCCTCCTGAGTAGCTGGGATTACAGGCATTCACCACCATAGCCAGCTAATTTTTGTATTTTTAGTACAGCCATGGTTTTGCTGTGTTGGCCAGGCTGGTGTTGAACTCCTGATCTCAAGTGACCCACTCACCTTGGCCTCCCAAAGTGCTGGAATTACAGATGTGAGCCACCATACCCGGCCTGCTCCTGAGGGATATGTTTCTATCTGCAGTCAGGAAAACCAACCCTGGGCCTGTAGGTGCATTAGGAGAGGAGATCATGGACAATGTTTGTTAGGATACTCAGTGATATCTTTCTTGGTACACAATGAAAGTGTTACCAAATACTGGACAAATTCCCTAAAACTGTTGCCCAGGGTCTCCCAAGGAATTCTGGAAGGAGAGTCTGTCTGTTGGGAACAGGGTGGTCTCTGAAGCAGATTTGCCAGGATTCCTGATGACACAGGGTACTTCTTCAGATATACTTTGCTTTCATGGTGAGGAGTGGCTGCTCATAACCACGTGCTTAGAAATGTGTCCGTTACTTTAAGGGTTAGAGCTAATGAAACGTGCTGCTATCACAGCACAGCAAGTCTTTGGATTCTCTAGCTAAAGTTGTAAGTTGTTTAGATAATGGGATCGCATTAGATTACCTGCTGGCTGAACAAGGCCAACTCCTCCTGTTTCACTTATATTAACACCTCAGCTGAAGTTGAAATGCATGTAAATACAATAAGAGAGCAAACTTCATGGTGACAACAGATAAAAGAAGATTAACTAGGATTAGGTGATTGGTATTCTGGATTGTTTTCTTGGATCTCACAAGGGATCCGATCTATATTTTCTGGTATCATCACTTTTGGCTCATCCATCTATCTTATCGTTATTGTAACTCATGTTTTCATTAATGTCATCATCAAATATAGATTAAGATGCTGTTCCAAGACTATAATAGGTAACGGCACCCAGATAATGGAATTGCAGTATGCAGGATATGGGCCCGGCCCCTGGAAATACTTTCAACTTCAGGTGGATAGGTGCCGCTCTTCAGTTTCCACACCTTTGCCCCTTTTCAGCAGGAAGTAGCCAGAGAAGAATGACACCCCTTTTCCTACATAAGTGAGGAATGGAAAAAGGCAGTGGGGATTTGTAACAGGGCCCCTTGAGATCTCAGCATCCCAGCATTTTTAGTGACTGAAATAATGAAAATTCTGATCAGGGCCTTGTGTTTGCTTGCACTTGCTTTTTTGCCCAATATTCCTTGTTCCCACAACATAATTATAAACTGCTGATGTACTGTTTCTCTGTCAAGCAGGGGGAGTTAACTTCAGGGTCACAAAGAAAGTATCCAAGAAGAAATAAATGTCTTCAAGGATGTTGTGACAAGCTGCTGACTCCTAGAAGTCTGATTGTTTCAAGTGTTATCTGAGAGTGAAGAAACACAGACTTTTGCCCCTTGGTTCCCTGAAACTCCCCGTCTCCTACTCTGTAGCCACATAACTCTCTGCTTCTTTTTCTTAAGGTAAATCGGAGAGATCTTGCCTTCCTGCCTTCTTGCTTTGACCAAATTAGATAAACGTTTCTCTATTTCCAAGCACCTGTGTGTCAGTGTTGGCACACATTGGGTACACGAGCCTGAATTTAGGGTTCTCTGACAAGATGGGGTGGTTAATGCAGACACAATTGAATTCTAGAGACAATGATCACATTTTCTGAATCTCAAGGCCAGATAGTTCTGGTGTTTCATGAGTAGGAGACAGAGCTTAAAGCCAGTGATTTAGGTGTTGAGCAATTCAGGAATTTCTAGAACATTTTGGTAAGACAAAATATCTGATTGGTGATAGCCATCGAGAATGCTCCCTCTTGTGAAATGTTGAGAAGGGAAGAGGGAGTGGGGGTGGGTGGAATGGAGCCCAGGGGCTAGGAATGAGGCAATCTCTCTTTTGTGGAAGTCCTCAGTAGGTTGTGTGACTGCTGCTCTCCAACCTGGAAAAAGAAGACAGCGGCCATGGGAGACATTTAGGATTTTGTCTCAGACTCTTCCCAGAGATGATCCAGGAATCCTGCTTCCTGGTGTCCTCCACAAAAGGGAGATGTGTTTCTTGCCTTGGCAGCATAACTTGGTGTTTTAAAATTTTTCTGATAAAGCCTTTAACTGGAAATCAGCCCCATGGGGGAAATTCTGAGATCCATGACAGAGTGAAGCATAGCCATTATACCAGGGACTTTGCAAATGTACTGACAAGAGTTCAATGACCAGCTCTGCCACGTTCCAGCTGTGTGGCCCTGGAAACATTACTGCTCTGTTTTATCCTTGTTTCCTCATCTACCACTGCTTCCTAAACTTGAGTGTGCCCACAAATCACCCAGGAATCTTGTTACGAGGCTGGTCATGAGATTCCGCATTTCTAACAAGTTCTCAGGTGACCTGGAAGCTACCTGTTCCTGGAGCATGCTTTGAGTAGTAAACTGATTTTTAGGGTTACCCTGAGGTTTATGTGTATTATTTATGAAGAGCTTAGCATGGGGCCTGGCATAATGGCTTCAAGTTATTGTTCCTTGGGCAATGGGAAGGAGCTGACTTGGACTTTGGGGGAGGACCCTGAATCAGAGTGGTAAATAAGGGACAGTGCCCACATGAATGCTCCCTCTTCAATTCTGCCCTCCATCCCGGAGGAAGTCTGGAAAAATTATGGATTAGGGGGATTACAATGCAATGGAAGAGACCTTTTGGTGAGACCAAGGATGCCTCTGTTTCATTCCCACCCTGTGATCTTAAAGAAGTCCCTCTCCATCTGTGGGCCCTCTTGAAATAAATGAATGAGATGATTCTTGTGTTTTTCTCCTCTCCCTCCAAGTTATTGTAATTGGTGTTGCTTAAGGCAAACCAAAAAACTCTAGAACCAGGGCTCTTCACTCCTCTCCCCGTGTAACCCTTGGCAGGAAGATGGAGTTTAGCCTTAGTAGATAATAACTTTCATAAAAATTCATTTTTTTTTTTAAACCGAGTCTCACTCTGTCACCAAGCTGGAGTGCAATGGCATGATCTCGGCTCACTGCAATCTCTGCCTCCTGGGTTCAAGCATCCTCCTGCCTCAGCCTCCCGAGTAGCTGGGACTATGTAGTGTAGTAGCGTGAGCCACCACACCCAGCTAATTTTTGTACTTTTAGTAGAGATGGGGTTTCACTATGTTGGCCAGGATGGTCTCGATCTCTTGACCTCGTGATCCACCCACCTCACTCAGCTTCTCAAAGTGCTAGGATTACAGGTGTGAGCCACCATGCCCGGCCCACTACTTTTTTTTTTTTTTTAATTAAAATGTCCTTAACATCCTCAGTTTCCCCCAATTCCCCTTTCTTCCCTGGTTTCTGTTGTTTCCTTGTGTCTTATTTCACAAGACTTGAAATCCCCTCCTTGTCCAATATAGGCCCTTCCAATATCTTACCCAAATTTCCAAATCCACCCCTTTCTCCTTCAAAACCTTTATCTCCCAGTGGGTTAAGCAGTACTTCATACTAAGGTGTGAATGACTGCTCTAAATTTCCCCAGTGTATTTGTAAGTACGTGTATGTTTTAAAAAGGAGGTCTTGAGATTTTAAACTTGATTGCAACATTTATAGAATTTCGGGCACAGAGATGAAGCATTTTTAGGAGCACATCAGGGAGAATAAATGTAGGGGTAGAGGAATGAATCTCTTGTTCACAAAAAAAAAAAAAAAAAAAAAAAACCTTCTATGGCCCTCAGATCAATCCCAAATCCATGGAAGGCTGTGTTCTTGTTAGAAAATCAGGTGAACTTGCACATTTTCTCACATTCTTCTTTCCTCGAAAAGTTGTTGCTGTTGCCTCTGCAGCCTCCGTAAGCAAATAATTCACATTCACCAGTTTCAGAGTTGAAAAACCATCGAATCATGTAGGCTTGACAAGGGCCCTTTTCCATAGGAAAAGAGCATACATTTGGGAGGAGATCCGTGATAGTGTCTGAAGAGAGAAAGTGTTTGAAGGAGACCAAACCCATCACCTTCCCCTTGTTTGCCTCATATGCCAGGGGCTGTGACAGCCCTGGGCACAATTGTGAGGTCATCTACAATGGCTGTGCTCTGTACCTCTTTCTGCCCAACCGTGGTCTGATCTGTTTACACAGAAGTTGACATTTTGACTTCTGAGAGTAGCCTGATATGGTGAGAATCACAGGCTTGAGAACCCAATTCAAGTGGACTGAGATTGTAGTCAAACCACTTGCTGCTGTGTGATGTTGTATAAACCTAACTTGTTCATGTCTCCATTTCTTCATTTGTAAAATCAAGGAGTTGAACCCCATCATCTCTGAGTGCCCTTCCAGATCTGATTTTATAGGATTTGATAATAAAGATCCTCAGGTTCCTACCTCCTGTCTCATAATCAATTCTAGAATCGATATCCCGTGACAGAAGGAAAACAGACTTTGAATCTGACAGCAAGATTGAATCTCAGAGGGTTCAAACTTGTCTCAATTATCTTCTAGCTATGTGATCTTGGACAAATGACTTATCTCATTGACAATTTCCTTCGTTGCAAAAATGCTGGTATGATATCCACATTTTTGGTTTATTGAAGGGTCAGAGATTACCAGTGAAAAGCATTGATAAATAGAAAATAAATCAGTAAATAGTAGCTGCTCTTAATCATTCTATTGCTTAACCAATAAGACTCTTGAGAAAAGGGATCTCATTGTACTCATTTCTGCAGCCTTAGTGCCTAACACAGGCCTAGTTCTCAGTTCTTAGCAAATATTTGTTAATAGACCACCACCACCACCACCGCCACCACCACCACCACTGCCACCACCACCACTACCACCAACACCACCACCACCACTGAGCTTCTCTGGGGCAGGATTAGAAGTTTCTTTGTGCCCTCCTTGTATGTTTCTGTCACCAGGTGGGCAGTTTTACTCTTCGTGGTAGCTAGTAGAACTTCCAACATTACGTGAGGAAACTAAGGCCAGAGAAATGAAGTATCTGTCCTAATGTCAGGCTAGGAAGCAGTAGGACCAAGAATCAAACCCAGCATGGTTCGACTGCAAAGGCTTGCAGGTTCTCCATGCATCTTGGTTGTTGTAAAATGAGTGAATGGACGGATGAATGATCACACCTATGGTGGAACTTCAGGCAGCAACCTAGGACTTGGAAAGGTTCAGGCTCTGTCTCATCCTCCTACCTGCAAGGCTAACGCTAAGGGTGAAGGAGAATGGGAAGGAGACAGAATAGCTTATCCAATCAAGGTGGGAGGTGGAGGGGCATGTTCTTAAGACATCCTAGTTGCAGCAGCATTGGCTTTTAGACCCTTACAGGTGACTCTGTAGGGGCTGGAGTCCCATCTGCTCTTAATTTTCTCAGTCTTGCTTCTCTGCTCTTCCATTCCATTAAACCAAAGGAAAATCACTTGACTTGTTTCTTTTTTATGTAAAGTAGATAATGACACCGTGTGTGTGTGTTTTGAGTGTGACAGAAGCTGTTCTAAGTGCTTTACAAGAACCTATTAAGAGCTAAGTTGTACTGAGAGCTTGACATACATCAGACTATTTGACATATATCAGAAAAGGTGGTTAACCTTTTTTTTAGAAGAAGAAACTGATGCTCAGAAAGGCTATAAATGATGTTCCTGAGGCACAGAGTTTGTAAGTAGAGGAGCCAGGACCAGAACCCAGGTGTGTCTGACTCCAGGTATGCTCATCCTGTAAACCACTACATTCTTCTTACTTAAGGCAGATGTTTTCAAACTCGAGTATGCATCAGAATCATCTGGAAGGCTCATTAGAGAGACGTACCTCCACAGTTTCTGATCAGGTGGGACTGGGAACTAGTATGTTTCTAGTTGATGCTGCTGCTGCTACTGCTGTTGGACTAGGGGACAAACTCGAGAACCACTCATCTATAGGGTTATTGGGAGGTTTACGGTTCCATTTATATCTAAGAATCTATCATTAATAGCTCCATGTACATACATGCAGAGAACTATGCTTGCATGTGCAAGGATGTTCACTGGCACATTGACAGTGATAATCTCCAGAAGGTAAGATTTCTATAATTTTTTACTTTCTTTCTTACCCTTTTGTGTATTCTAATATGCATTTTTATACAGGGAATCCTACTGGCTGCTTAAAAATCTTGGAAACTGCTGCCTACCATCCCCATTTCCAGCAGATTATCTTAGCTATAACTGCACTTCATCTCCCCACTTCCATTTGCAGATTCCAAGCTTCCACAGAGAAAGTGGTCCAGGAAGGAGCCATTTCTGACAAGTGCATCTAACTTGGCTAAGTTCCTCACTCTCAAATTCTGGCTCTGATCTCCTTTTCCCAACCTCTCCTAGCCTGCCACCAGCCCAACCCCAGATGTTGAAGGCCCCTTTTCCTGCTTTGCTTGTTTTATTTTCTATAGCACTTTGATCATCTATCATGTGTGTTAGGTATTGTATGTCTCTCTCCCATTAACATCTTAATTTCACAAAGGCAGGGTCTTAGGCTCCTTGCTTTAACCCCAGCACCTAGGACAGTGTCTGGCACATACTATGTGCCCAACATATATCCGATGAAGTGACTTGAACTGAATTGACTCTCAATCCAGTAAGGTAAGAAATGGGTTCTGTTGGTGCTGCACCACCTCCCCCACCACTACCCACCCTCAGCCTGATTCCCAGTCTACTCTTTGAGATCCCACATTTTATACCAACCTTGTGATAGTTCTGATCGAAGCTCTAGGCAGAGAGTGAGAATCAGGAGAAACGAGAGAGAGGCCTGAAGCTGCATGGTGCCACTCAGCCAGTGGCTCAGCCTGGGGTTGCCATTTTAGGGAGAAAAGGGACCAAGGGGAGGAGCCTGGCCCCACATCCAGCTCATTCACCCTTAACTCAGGCTTTTCATGGGGCTGGGCTGCCTCAGGAACAGAGTGTTCATCCAAAGCACAGCTTCGCCTCTCTCTTCCTGGCCTTATCTGATCTGGCCAACCAGGCTACTTTAGTACCACTTCAGTGTGGAAGCCCTTTTCACAATACTAAAAAGACAGTAGCCATTTTTTAGTACCTTTTATTTTCTAGGCACCATGCAAAAATAGTTTTCACACATTGCTTCCCTTAAGTCTCTACAAGAATCCCACAACACTTAAAACTCCCATTTTGTAGATAAGAGGAGGTTATGCTACTTTGACCACTGCTACATTTACAGCAAGTTTCAGAGACTGGACTGAGACCCGGGTCTGTCTGCTTCAGTGCTCTTGTATCCCTCATTCATTCAACAAACATTCATCAAGTACCCACACGGCACCAGGCAAAGTATTAGATGCTGCCTCCATCCCATCTGGGTGCTCCCAGGAAATTATGGGAACAACACACACAAACATATTGGAAGTCAGAAACAGTCACCTACTTGGAGGAGAAGCAGACTCAGTATATTTTAATAGAAATATCAAAGGCACCATGTAGAAGGAGGGCCCAGCTTTGTTTGGTTCAGAGGGTCATGCTCTCTAGAGACACACCCCAGAATCCAGTACATTCCACCTGTCTCCTTTCCTTGATTCTCTAGATATCCAATTTCTTTTGAAAGACAAAGCCAGCATGCTTTACTGAAATTTAGTGAGCCTCAGATTTAAAATCTGAGGTTGTGATGGGTCCAGCTATTCTTTTTCAAGAAGCATTCTATCATATATTTATTGTTATTTATTTTTAATTGAGAAATAAAAATTGTATAAAGGCAGTCCCCAATTTACAATGGTTTGACTTACAATGTTTGACTTTATGATGGTGCAAACACAATGCACAGTCAGTAAAAACAGTACTTTGAATACCCATACAACCATTCTGTGTTCACTTTTAGTACAGTATTCAATAAATTACATGAGCTATTCAACACTTCATTATAAAAAGGGCTTTGTGTTAGATGATTTTGCCCAACTGTAGGCTAGTGTAAGTGTTCTGAGCAAGTTCAAGGTAGGTAAGGCTAAGCTATGATGTTTGGTAGGTTAAGTGTATTAAATGTATTTCAACTTCTGATATCTTCAACTTAGGATAGGTTTATTAGACTACAATCTCATCATAAGTTGAGGAACATTATATATTTATGATGTACAATATGATGTTTTGAAATATATGTGTGTGTGTGTGTATATATATAGAAAGAGAGCAATTTTCTCTCTTAGCAATTTTCAAGTGTACAATATGTTATTAACTATAGTCACCATGCTGTGCAATAGGTCTTCACAACTTATTCCTTTTGTCTAACTGAAATTTCATATCCTTTGTTGACCAGCATCTTCCCAATACTTCCCACCCCCCAGCTCCTGGTATCCACCATTCTACTCTCTGCTTCTGTGACTTCAACTTTTTTAGATTCCACATGTAAGTGAGATCACCTGGTATTTGTCTTTCTGTGCCTGGTTTATTTCACGTAACCTGCAGGTTCATCCACGTTGTCACAAATGGCAGGATTTCCTTCTTTGTAAGGGCTGAGTAGTATTCCATTGTGTATACGTACTACATTTTCTTTATCCATCCAGTAATGGACACTTGGGTTGATTTAAGTCCAGCTACTCTTGACCTGGGCAAGTCATTTAACCTCTTCCAGCCTCAGTTTTCTCATCTATAAATTGGGGTTAATTATGTGGCTTTAGCATAGTTCCCAGAATTGGTACAAGTGTTCAATAAATATTCAAATGCCTCACACATTGTGAATGCACACACAGGCACATGTCTTTTGCAAGGGATGTGTGTGTGTGTGTGTGTGTGTGGCAATGATGCCTTTTTGAAAATGAGGGTGCCAACTGAATCAGCAGCATACTTAGTTCCTACAGAAATGTTTTCCCCACCTTTGCATGTTAGTTATAGCTCTTCCTTTTCTTTAAATTCCCTGGAGCCATGATACTCATTCCTTGGCCATTGCTTTCTCTAACTATAGCTTATGCAATTGTTGGTCAACCCTCTCATTATCTGTTGATCTTTACTGTTTACCCCACATTTATTTCCTTGAAGGCACCTCTGAAGCCTACATTGCAACATCTCTGTGGTCCAACTTCTTTTGCACCTTGAGGGGTCCACCAGCATTATCCTTGATATCTCCTTTCTTAGCCCTCTTGGGTGATCAAATCTGTTCATCAGAAAACAAAATAATGATAGAAGGAAGAAAGGAATAGACTGTCACTTGTGCAGGCAGAGGAAAGGCGGGAGTGCCTATTGATGCTCCTTGGCTGAGAGCTTCCTACAGTGTTGCCTCCTCTGGGGCAATGGATCAGGAAGTGAGAAGTTTCCTTTAAACATACTAATCAGGAGAGCAGGGGAGGGAGTGATACTGCCCCCAAGGACACTTGGCAATGTCTAGAGACATTTTTGATTGGGGGCACCTACTGGCTTCTAGTATGTTAAGGCAGAGATATTGCTAAACATCCTATACTGCTCAGGACAGCCCTCACATTTGGCATCAAATGTTAATCACGCCAAGGTTAGGAAACCCTGCAGAAGAGCAATAGATAGAAGCACTTTTTGAAAAAGTTATAATAATATTTCCAACATTAACAGCATGATAAGGATCCAGTGCAGCGAGGGGCAGTGCCTGATGAGGTGCGTCTGTACTCGTTTGACCAAACAGGCCTTGTGGGTAGGTACAACAAGACCTGGCCCTTGAAAAGCTCATTCTGTACTCAGGTTGCCCTGGGGATCTTTGGTCATGACTCAGTGAATTGGCTCTTTCTCAGGAGATCTGGGTGGCAGTGTTATTGTAATTCCAGAAAGGGGAGGGCAAGAGTAAGATTTATTAAAAACATGTTAGAGCAGCTAGAAGGCAGCCCTAGCTAGTTATCTAGCACTTATATTCATTACAGGAATCTTACTAACCCTATGTCAACCATATGTGTGTGCATGTATGTGAAAAATCATTACAATATTTTTTTAAAAAATTAATAAATTCAGGAGCTACATGTGCAGGTTTATTACATGGACATATTGCATAATGGCAAAGCCTGGGCCCGAAGAGTGAACACTGTATACCATAGGTAATATTTCAACCCTGCTCCACTTCCGATTCACTTACTTCCTTTTTCTTTTTTTCTTTTTTGAGATAGAATCTTGCTCTGTCATCCAGTCTGGAAGTCTGGAGTTCAGTGGTGTGATCTTGGCTCACTGCAGCTTCCGCCTCCTGGGTTCAAGAGATTCTCCTGCCTCAGCCTCCTCAGTAGCTGGGATTACAGACATGCGCCACCACGCCTGGCTAATTTTTGTATTTATAGTAGAGACGGGGTTTCACCATGTTGGCCAGGCTGATCTCAAGTGATCCGCCCAGCTCGGCCTCCCAAAGTGCTGGAATTACAGGCGCGTGCCACTGGGCCTGGCCCCAATTAACTTACTTTTGATTGAGATCCATTAATTTGACTGGTTTAAGGAAGGAGGAAGTAAATAAGGGTGGGATTTTGAAAGAATAAAGTTTCACCCTTCAGGTTCTAACCTCCAAATGACCTTTCTCTTTTCTAGAAGGAAGAAGGGGACTAACATCTTATGAGCACCATATGTCAGGCAATTAATTTAATTCTGGGAAAATATAGTAACTTTGCACCAGTATAGCTCTAGCTCCTGCCCCTTCTTTGTGCTTTTGTTGTCATATATATTACATTTATGTCTATTACAGCAGTGTTATAATCAAGAGAAGACCACACACACACACACACCCTTATACACACATATACACACTTTATATTTACCCACATACTTACCATTTCGGGTGTTTTTCATTCCTTCCTGTGGATCCAAATTACTATCTGGTCTCATATTCTTTCAGCCTTAAGGATAAAGTCTAGTTCGAGAGAAGTATCACCTCCTCTCAGTTTTTGTTTATATGGGAAAGTCTTTATTTTGCCTATATTTTCTTTAATTCAAATTTTTATTGAGATAATTATAAATTCACATACAGGTGTAAGAAATAATATGGTTTCCCCTAATGTTAACATTTTTAAATGTTTCCCTAGTTTCCCTAATGGTAACATATTGAAAATGGGATACACACACACACACACACACACACATATATATACACACACATATATATACTTTCTACTGTAAGGAATTGGCTCACATGATTATGGAGGATGATAAGTCTAAGATCTGCAGTCAGAAAGGTGGAGACCCAAGAAAACCAATGGCACAGCACCGATACAAGTCCATGGGGTTAAGAACTGGGAGAGCCAATTATGCAAGCTCCAGTCTGAGTCTGAGGGCCTGAGAACCAGGAGAGCCAATGGCATACGTTCCAGTTCAAGTCTGAGTGTGGAGAAAACTGGTGTTTCAACTTGAAGGCAGGTAGGCAGAAAAAATATATATTTCTTACTCTGACTTTTATTTCATTCAGGCCTGCAACAGACTGGTTAAGGCCCATCCACACTGGGGAGAGCAATCGCTTTACTCAGTCTGCCAATTTCAATGTCAATGTCATCTGGAAACACCCTTACAGACACACCCAGAGATAATGTTTAACCATATATCTGGGCACCCCATGGCCCAGTCAAGATGATACATAAAATGAGCAATCACAAGTCCATTACTTGTCAACCTGGCACCCATACAGATCTCCTTAGGCTATACTTAATCTTAAAATAAAAACTATTACAAGGTTATAATCCCACCTAACATGATACAATTATCCTGCAGACAATGGAAATACACCAACCCCTTCCCCAAAGACAACATAGTTTTTGAGTGACATTTACTCCTCTTGATATTTCATAGCTTAAAATTCTATGATGTAAAATGAACAATACTTAAGTACTATGGAATAAAGTCAATACATCTTATGTTGCATAATAAGGA